TGTGATGCTTCATTTTCCCATCACACATGAAAATGATTCAACAACTGTAGCAGTAACATTTAACATGCACTGGGGCAGTTTGCAGCCATGTCAGTGCAAGGATGAGAGTCAGCACCTCAAAATGTCAGTCCATGGCCATTGAAAAATTGCCACCTTATCACAGTGGAGGGATTGTTGTGTCCCTGTGATCCTAGGAGCTATGCTGTTGGGGCAATAGCCCTTAAAAGTGTCTCCAAAGGCAAATTGGTCCTTGGGAAGGGACCAGACAAAGAGCAGTCCAGAAAACCTTGGTGTGTACAGACACTAGAAGTGATGCAGCTGGAATAGGGAGACTGGGACCCCATTTTGGAGCCAGGTATGGAAGGGGACGAACCTGGTCAGCATTTGGTGGCTGAGCCCAAAAAGGCTACATAGGGGCAATATTTAATGGTCTCACCACCTGCAGGGATAGGCATTAGGGCTGGGTGCAGTGTAAGCCGGGCGACAGGCAGGAGTGCACACCAGAGCCCAGGCAGCAAAAACAAAAGGCATAGGTCAAGAACATAGATTTAAAACATAAGTTGAAAGTCATCGGGTTCCGTTATGAAGTTGATGTATCTAAAATACACTGTTTGCGTGAGATTTAGTTCCTTAGCACAACTGAGAAACCATAACTGCCTATAACAAACTCTTACCTGACAAAAATTCTGAGTTTTCAGTTGAACTGTGTTTACACAGAGCAGAGAGGAGACAAAATGAGAGACTGAGAGGAAAATAATGCATACAGAGGTTGTAAAAAGTAAAAAAATATCCATACAATCACTTTACATATGTTAGACCTGTGGGCATTTGTTGATAAATGTTGTACATATTGATTCTAGTTTTTTGGGGTTTTTTTTCATCAAACAAATTCAGTTTTCCCTTTTTATGCCTTTATAACCATTTCATAATGCACTTCTGCTAAAACAGAACTTTATATTGTGGTGAAAAATGAGTCTGCAGTCAGTAGAAATGTGACATATGCAAAACAACATCCAGAAACAGCTTAGGCCTCAAAAAAAATAAAATAGAATATATTGAGTAAAATTGTGACCAATGTCTAAAAGAAAACATCCAGAAACAGCTTAGGCCTTTGACGGTTAAAATAGAATATATTTTTTTCAGAAAGGGTAACTTGATTCTTGTGTGTCTTTGTCTCTCCAGACCTCCCACAGCCACATGTCTGTCAGAAGGAGGAGGTTTTTGCTGAGCAGGAGCTCTGTAGCCAGAAGAGGAACCACAGTCTGGACCAGGAGGACCCAGATTCTACACAGATTAAAAAGGAACAGGAGGACCCAGAGTCTCCACAGATAAAAGAGGAACAGGAAGAATTCTGCACCAGTCTGGACCAGGAGGACCCAGAGGCTCCACAGATTAAAGATGAGCTGGACAAAGTCTGCATCAGTCAGGAGGGTGAGCAGCTTGTACCGAAGCCAGAGATTGAGTCTTTTCAATCAAACTCACACCCCTGGCAGCATATACACGCTGGCGTGACTGTCACTCAAACATACGGATGCAAACTGAAGAATCAGACGACGACAACAACAACAACAACAACAACAAAAAGACAGGAGACAAGGGCGGCGGTGAAAGAAAATTCGGTCATTTATTTACAAAAAAATTCTTTCACAAGGTGTTCGCTGGAGGAAAAAAAGCGGATAAAGGAGCTTGGACCAGACCAACCAGACTTAAAAATCCAGCAGCAGGCAAGTGACCGTGGACGGACTTACACCCGGGGCTTCTCCCGCATGTTTTATGCCAAACACAGTTGGCTAGCTGGATGTGAAGTTAGCAATGCTTTTTATTGCTTTCCCTGCTTGCTTTTTCAAAGCACTGAAGTCTTGTGGACAACAACAGGGGTCAGAGACCTGAAACATCTTTCTGAAAAATGCAAACGGCATGAAAGTAGCTGTAGCCATCTTGACAACAGCATGAAGCTGAAGTTGTTCGGCAGAGTTAGCATTGCTGAACAATTAGATGAGGGCTATAGAGCTGGCATTAGAAGGCACAACGAAGAGGTGACAAAAAATCGTCACATACTGTCCAGAATAATAGACTGTGTGAAATTTTGTGGGGCCTTTGAGTTGGCTTTACGTGGCTATGATGAGAGTGAAGGCTCTGTTAACCCTGGGATATTTTGTGGGTTGGTGGATTTTGTTGCCTCTCTGGATGGAGCTTTAAGAGAGCACCTTGAGACCGCCACTGTTTTTAAGGGTACTTCAAAAACTGTACACAATGAGCTCCTGGACTGTATGCTGTCTGTAGCAAGGGAGCAAATAATCAAAGATGCACAAAAGAGTGCTTTTTTATCAATCCAGGCAGATGAGACAACAGATATTTCAACACAGTCCCAACTTGTGCTTGTACTACGCTACATTGATGACAAACACAATGTGCAGGAAAGGTTTTTTGAATTCATTCCTCTGCGGTCAGCTACATCTGAGTCTGTTGCTACTGCATTAAGAGAGTGTCTCGCTGCCATCATTCCTGAGGATCAGAAAAGTAAATTAATCTGCCAGGCGTATGATGGAGCCAAAGTGATGAGGGGCACCACTGCAGGTGTTCAGAGGAAAATCAAAGATGTGTACCCAAATGCCCACTATATCCACTGCTATGCACATGAACTCAACCTGATCGTGCAACAGGCCACCTCTCACATTTCCAAGGTGAGAATTTTTTTTTCTGACCTGGGTGGATTTGCCAGTTTCTTTTCCAGATCACCCAACCGTACAGCTGTTCTTGATAAAGTGGTGGCCCATAGACTGCCAACATCCAGCAATGTCAGATGGAACTTTCACAGCCAAACCATCAACACTGTGTTTGAGCACAGAGAGGATCTCATTCAATGTTTTGAGAACATACGAGACTCAGGTGACTTTGACCCCAGTACCATCAGAGAGGCGGGAGCCATGGCCATGCTGCTGGAACATCAGGACTTCAAGTTCTTTCTGGAACTTTTTCACCTCATCATGCCACATGTTGACCTCCTCTATGCCAAGCTCCAGAAGAAGAACATAGACTCTGTCCACATCAAAGGGAGCATCCAGCAGTTTGAAAAGGACATACAAAACATCAGGTAATAAGTATTCCTGGTAGTAATATGATCATCACTTTTTTTTCATGATCTCTTTTCCCCTTTTTAATTATAATTATGACTTCTCCTTTTCCGTCACAGAAATTCTCTCCATTCCATGGGTGAGCAAAGCAGTGGCTCTCTGCCAGCAAAGAGGCGTCGGGTACTCAGTTCAGAGGATCGTCAAAGGGTTGCAGAAGAGGTGGGTCTATGTTGTAGAAATTTGTCATAGTCCATGTTGCATTGGAGGTTGTAATGTTTGTTAGAGGAGAAATGTGCTTTGAAATACCATTTTAAATATATCATTGTCATTTTGCAGAGATGTTCCAGCCTGTCACCCAATCACCACTATTTTTTCCTGTTTGTTTTTTTTTATGACAATGAAGGTTGTTCAAAAATATTACAAATCATATCACAATTGCAGTAGTCAAAATAATAGGAAGATATTTTTTCTAAGTCATGCAGCAACAGAGGGTAGCAGTGTCACCAAAATTGCCTAAATTAATTACACATTTCTTTTTTTTCCTATATTTTTTTGTATTCTTCTCTCTGTAGGTTTGCAACACCATTCTGGGACACATCAGGGAGCGCTTCTCCTTCACAGACCATCTTGTCTGTGCAACCTTGTTGCAGGGGGACAGGTTTGAAGAACATCACAAGTCATTTCCTGAAGCTGCACTGCACAGCACTTTGAAGGCCTACCCAATGCTGAATGGAAGAAAGCTGAAGACAGAACTTGGTCTCATCTACAGCAAAGAAGAGTTCAGAGCCTGTTGTGGTGCTATGGAGCTATTCCAGCTGTTCATGGAGAACAATGTTGAAGAGGTCTTTTCAGAAACTGTCACTCTTTTGAAGATCATCATCACCACACCCATGACCACAGCAGAAGCTGAGAGGTGCTTCCTAACCTTGAAGAGAATAAAAACTTTTCTCAGAAACACCATGACCCAGGAGAGGCTTAATGCACTGGCCATGCTCTCCATGGAAAAGAGGCTTGTTTGTGAAATGACAGATTTCAATCAGAAAGTCATTGAAAAATTTGCTGGCCTGAAGGAGAGGAGAGCACAATTTATGTTCAAGTAGTTTGTTGTCATGTTGTAGAAAAGTTTTAGCAAAAGTGGTAATTTGACTGCCTACATGAGAACTCACACAGCAGAGACGCCATACCACTGCATCACCTGTGTGCAAAAATTTAAATATGGGTCAACACTGAAAAGTCACATGAGATCTCATACAGGTGAGACACTGTAGTCCTGAAACGTTTGTCAGAACAAAGCTTGATTAAACGTAAAATTAGATTTTTAAGATTTCCACCTGTGCTTAAACAATGATGCTACACTGCAAGAGATGGATCTAATAAATTCTGGTTTCTATTTGTGTCAGACTGCACAGTTTAAGGTTGTGAAATGGAAATGGGGTGACAGCAGCACATTGTATTTGCAAAAGAAACAACTGAAATTGTCTCGTACACACAAATCAAATCAAATCAAGTTTATTGTCATTTTGCTGTACATACACAGTAGTACAGACAAGATGAGAGAGCGTTTCTTCAGGATCATTTAATTTGCAAGTTTTGCGGAATGAACGTCTGGGATAGGCAAGACACTAAACCTTCACTCTCGCTGTCTCCTGAAGGGGCCGCTGCGTCCATGGCAACCGCCATCACGTTGAACATGGCGAACCTCTTCAGGTCCTGGTAGGTCTTCAGGGACACAAAGACACACATGATGGTGTGACGATGGTGAAGTCGCAGATGCTGCCCAGAGCTAGCTGCCTGTCTGTCCGCCCGGAATAATGTCGTCCCCTCCAGCTGTATGGCTGTCTGGGATGTTGTCATAGAGCCATGTTTCTGTAAACACAAACACACAGCAGTCTTTCCACTCTCTGCGGGTTTCTCCCAGCAAACATAGCTCATCCAGCTTGTTGTGGAGGGAGCGGACATTGGAGAGTAGGAGGACGGTACTGCTAGTCTGGAGGGGTTAGCCTGTAGCTTAGCATGGAACCCGGCTCTCTTCCCCCTCTTTTGTTTATGTTCGCACTGTTTGCGCTTCCTTCTCTCTCGGGTACCTGCCAGTGTAGTCTCTGATCGGACTCTGTGTTAGTGTAGTATGTCACTGTGGGCTCCAGAGCACAGTAGTACACAACAGTCTGTCCCTGCAGCAGAGAAGATCTGCACATGGAACTCCTTTGATTGTCCGACGGACAACCTTTCTGTTTTCTCTGAATAGAAGCTGTGGAGATGAACTGGACTTCTGCTGGTACCAGAGGAGGTAGTTGGTAGAGCCTGAATAGTTGCAGGAGAGAGTCACAGTGTCTCCTTCCAAAGCCATCAATGCATCTTTCAATGATAATAGTCAATCTTAAGATCACACCCCAGACAGTTTCACCACCATCAACATCTTGTTGTTAATGCGCCTTGAGAAAATTGATTTGGAGGTGAAAATCTACGGTTGGAACCAGAAGTTTACATACACTGTATAAAAAGACATAAAACCTTTTTTTCTCACCGTCTGACATTAACTGTGACTAAACTTTTCCTGTTTGAGTCAGACTTACAAAAAATATTTGTATTTGCTGAATGCCAGAATAATGAGAGAGACGTTTTTAGAGAATTTTTTATTGCTTTCTTCAAAGCAGAAGTTTACATACACTAAGATTACTGTGACTTCAAACTAATCTCAATTTACAAGCAGGCAATAAAACTCATGGACCAGAAACCAATGAGATGGCATCACTGCCACATTTTAAGAAAACACAACCTGCTCACCTTTGAAAAGTTTATGAATTTTATTGTTTTTTGAATGTCGAAGTAATCGTGTATCACCACTGTTTTCTGAACTGGCTGCCAGGCGTCAGAGCTGTCACAAAGCGATCACACGAGCCTCCACCAGTTGTGATTGTCTTGTCCCAAGATACAAGACTTCATTCTTGTCTGCTCTTTCTGTAAAGGGGGCAAACTTTGGAACTCTACCCACTAATCGAAAACTAGAGAGTAACAGTAATGCTTTTAACAACGGACTCAAACAATGGCTAAGATCAGAACAACAGTGCTCCCATGAATAGTTTTAACTGGTTGATTGCTTGACCATGTTGCCTTTGCTTTGTAGCTTATATATGTTTTTAAACTGAAAAA